CTCGGCTGACTCCGCTCCGCTCCATTCAAACCTCGGATGTGATTAGTGGAGGAATACGCATCAGATCCTTACATTTCTCCGCCGGAAACTGCCTTATCACTCATTTCATATTTCGCTCTGCATAACGTTCTTCGAAAATGTTTCTTAATTTGTGCAATTCTTTATCGTAAACAGGTTTTGATTACAATCTCATGTTAGTAGGCTTTGAACGCAAGAAAAAACTGTTGAGTATGCCACAAAATAACTTCGATTTCAAATGTATGACATTTAAAAGAAATTCAAATAAGATCACATGACTGAATCAGCAAGATGGTAGATCAGCGTTGACGTCCGAGGTTATGTGCGAGGCACGAGTCATCCGAGGAACTCCGAGTGACATCAAAGGGAATCTTCCATTACCCGGTAATACTAGCTGTCATGCACATATTCAGAGTTCAAATTCTCAGTCTGGTCATCTCGAAAAAAAAAAATTTGATTGCCCTGTCCCAACCAACTGGCTAAAATGACTCAAAACTTTTTTTGTATTCAGGAGAACACATTATTAATTTATAATTACTGGTAATTTTTCTGAGAATAATTTTCTCATCTACCTTTATACCAACCTAATCCTGAGGGGTGTTGCTAAAACGCGGAACGGAAAACGGAACGGAACGGAAAACGGAATATATTATTTTGGCTTAAAATACACAAAATTTATCATAAACGATATATCTTGTACATATTCACCCCCCCCCTATTAAATACAAGTTGATTTTGTCATGCTCAGTCTCTTTTTTACGAAAATCGCTAACATAGCAGTCACCTAGAATCGAATTTGAAAAGGGGGGATGAACGAACTTGAAAAGTATTTGACAAGCAAAAACACAAAAAAGAAATAATTGTTTGATTTGGGAGGGGGATAAGTTCCAACTCCAACATCTTTCAATACTATTTTTTTTTTACACTATCTTACTGCATTAATTACATTCACAAAAAGTGTGAGGATGTCAACTTGAACGAACATTTCCGTAGTAAAAAGGTTATGACTGGGTGGGGATCAAATATTTGATATCTAGATGAACCATGAAAACAGAAATAAAATGTAAAAAAAAAATTATTAAGATTACGTTTACGGCAAGCTCGAATAAACATCTCATATACACACTGGTTGTTAAAATTTTATTCAGAATAGAGTCGCTTTCTATATATTTAAATTCTGGATAGACAAATTTGGAAAACTTTCATGTGGTAGATATAATGCAGAATATTTGCATTCAATGAAGTTAAATTTTGTTTGTTTGTGGTACATGTGTGTGTGTATTAGGTGGGGGGGGGGATGTATATGAATGACCTCGTAAGAAATGAGTTTGTTTTCCCGCTCATCGGAAAGGTCTGAGAAGTTGTAATAGGTATGCCCCCCCCTTTTTGTATCCAAATTATACATAAGGTTTAATAAATCAATTTTTAATGTGATTGCGGGCCCCTAAACAGACCCCGAAACTGCCGCTCCCCCTTTCATGATTCGCGAATTCGACACTGCGTGCATAATCTGAATATCATAACTAGTTATTTTTGTCTTTACATACATTGACATTGGAAACAAATTGAAAAGGGGGGGGGGGGTCAGTAAAAATTTTCCAACATACAACAAATTTGACAAGCCGAAAAAGGGGGATATGTCCTTTGCCCGAGCACAAAAATCCTATTTCGTGTGTGTGTGGGGGGGGGGGTCGAATTTTTTTCAGTACCATTCTTTCCATGGAGAGTGTGTATGACTCATAAATATATAATAGTTTACAATAAATTTTTATCAGAAATGATTTTTACAGCAAGAATATTGCTCTTTTATCTGATTTATATCGAATCTATGTTATTTGTTTGACAAAAATTTTCCGTTTTCCGTTCCGTTCCGCTTTCCGTTCCGCGTTTTAGCAACACCCAATCCTGAGTTGGGAGAGGGCAGGCCTCGATCAACAGCATTGTTTTTTTCTATAAAGTCCTATACTGCTCAAATGTGAACTTAATTTGAAAATTTCTGTTTCCTTAATTCCAAGATTTTCATTTAAAGTACTTGTTTTTAAAAACCGTAGAGCATAATTAAAATATTTTTGTTTGATGTACCCTGACACACATTTTTCAAGGTGGGTAGGTACGTATCTTTTTTGGCTTAATAATATTGATCAAATTGATATCAAAGTGTCATTAAAAAATTCCAGACTTGACAGAAATTTATTAATATTTTCAATACACACTGGATATCTAGACAGATGAAATATATATTGTTAAAAAATTATTAATCTAAAAGCATCCAATAGAAATCACATACCACAATTTTAAAAGGAAACAGTATCTATTTCTAATAAATAAAACAATTTTTTTTTAAATCAAAAATTCAAAGTGCTGAAAAAATGATTGGGTTGGGGTATTTTTGATGGGTCAGTCTGAGTACATCAAAGAAATTTGTTTATATTGTTGCCCTTATTTTCTAGTACTGTATTTGGTTGACTTGAACTTTGACCTACTTTACAAAGATACCCCAGAAACTTTAAATTAACTAAAGACTTTTTTAAATATTGAGTGATGTAATTAACATTAATTTTATACATGTTTATGAGCTCATAAAACTGTTCTTTTAAACTATATGATATTCAGTAAACCACAAAAACTGATATCTTAATATTATGAAAATACATTGGGATGGAATCTCACAAAGTGGATTGTGCAATGTGACAATTGCTTTGAAACATGTAACACATGTAAAATGATAAATAATTATTTATGATGATTTCAACTTAATTATTCAGTTGAGGGTTGCATTCTGTATATGCTAGTAGCATAAAAATAGCTGACCACTCTTAGATTTTATAGATACATCTTTAAAGAAGCTAAAAGCAGGTGACATATGTGTTCCTTGGAACACTTTAGTTTGTAATGATATTGATGTCCTGTACTCTTTTATAACACTTTCTCTTCTTTCAGCAATGTTAAGCTTGATTTAGCCACTGCATTATAAGGAGAGAAGCAGACCAGAAACCCTGACTGAAGTAAAGATGATTTGCATAACAAAGGCAGTAAGTTTACTATATATAATATTCAAAGGTCTTCAAAATATCCCGTCTCTTTTAAATACATGTATTGAGAATGATTTGTTGAAGCTCAGCACCTGTCAGATGTGAATACATGTTACATTTTTCCCTCATCATTCGTAATCTTCTTCCAAAGAACCACTGGCCAGAAAAGTTGAAACTTATGCAGAAGCATCCTGGGGTAGTGTAGATTCTAAATTATTTAAATTATGACCCTTGGGGTGGGGTGGGACCACAATAGGGAACCCAACTTTTACATTGAAATATACAAGAAAAATCTATAAAAATCTTCTTCTTTGACATTACCAGTACTAGGCAAGCAAAACTGAAACTTTTGCAAAATCATTGTGGGATAGTGTAGATTTTAAATTGTTCAAATTATGACCCCAGGGGTTAGGTTGGGTCACAAAAGGTATAACAAGGGGGAAATCTGGTAAAGAACTGCATCATCAAAGCTATTCAGGTAATTATAAGTGATGTGGCTCATGAGCCTCTTGTTATATAAGTTGATATTTTACAGAAAATTTGAGAAAATATTAACTGCAAATCTGTGTCTAAGCACCTGTAATACTGCACTATCTCACCATTTGAAAGAATAAACAAACATTGATAAAAAAAAAATGTAATTATAACTGAAGCATAGAATATTTGATTATACTTTTATTGCTTACAAAATTATGTTTTTATAGGATGAATAAATCACAAGAGTCCAAAGTTTTGATGACCATGCAGAGTCGAGATATTGAAACAAAGACATGCCTGCACTGTTCACTCAATTTCTCAGAATAACGTGTCAAATTGAAATCCATCTTATGTTGGACTAAACAATCAGGACATTTTTCTGGATCACAGGTTGTGTTTACATTGTATATCATATGAATGAGAAAGATTTTGCTCTTCCTATGTATACTTCAGATTGAAACCTGAAAATGAGAATTGACCAAGTATATGTATTTTTGATAAGTAAACAATTCATATTAATATGATGAGCACAATCTGAATTTTTATTGGATCTTTATTAGGGATGTCAAAATTGTCAATAATTGATATTCGAATATTCGATAGGAGTATTCGAATATATTCGAATATTCGATAAAATAAATACATTTTGCATTATAAAGTATATATTTTAACTCTCCTGTCAGCCAGTATATGTGGAAAGTCATTATTTTGGAATTAATTTTACGTAGAGTATTGTAAATGCAAACTCATAAAATTTTTAAAATTGTACAGAGTATATGAAGAGTGTACATCTAAAATGTAATGATTTTTTTTGCAAATTCAAAAGCTTCTTTAGTATTTTCCAAATTAAATGATCGTCCTACCAAAGTCTACACTACTTACTCCAATTTATACCAATTTAAACAATTATCTACTGAAGAACAATTAAAATCAATTAATTTTTGTGAAGTAATTTCCCGATATTTATTTTTAATGATATATACATAAACAAAGGATCCATGTGTTTTTTTTTTGTAAAACTGTGTCCTTACAACATTATAAACTGATTGTAAGTACTTGGTACATGTACCGTTATACCACTGATTAAATGATCAAAGACTAATTTATTCCAATAATTACACTCTTCACACTTTTACAGTAATCCTAGGACTGTCTTTTAATTTTTTTTTAAATCAAATCATATTCATGTCAACTGTACAAACTTCATTCAATTTCAAATAAAACTTGTCAGATTTTTCTCTTTTCTACTAAAAAAAACCGAATATTCAAATCTCAAATTTGTATTCGAATATCAACTCATCGAATGAATATTCGAATATTCGAATATTCGTTGACATCCCTAATCTTTATATTTCACTTTGCACAAATTTAAAAGTATTTTTTATGCACTGAAATCTTTATGACGATTTAAAATGTTTTATCATTAATTTTTTTTCAGGCACAAAGTATTGACAAAATCAAAGATTACCTGGTAGTCTGCAAATGGAGTGATCATTGGATGAGGCAGACAACACCATTTTCCTCGGAAATTTTAGAATAGAGGCAATCTCCATCTTCATAGATGACTGATGTCGACATTTTCTCACTTCTGTTTCATGTCTTTTCTACAGCATGGACTCCAGCATCAGTGGGCACTTGACAATTATTCTTCTTATTTTGTTCTAATATCCTTAAATATAGGACAAACAATTCATTTATCTTTTAAAATATTGTTAAATTTTACTAAATAAAATGATGAAAACAGTGCAAACAAACTGGTTTATCCTATAATCTAAAGCTGTTTTATGGTTCAAGCATTTATAATTTTACAAGACTTATTAAAAATCTGTTAAGGTACTTGGATTCTCAGCCAAGAAGGATAACTCTTTAATTTATAATTTAATTCAGAATCTCAAAATGAATCTTGAAAAATTAAATCTCTTCATGCAACAGTTTTTATTTTATCATGATAATGTTTATAACTTCTCAATGTCCTTTAAGGTTGTTTGAAGTTCTCAGAAAGGTCTTGTAGAAAGTCGAAATGTTAACCTTATATAGTAAAACTCTGTTAAAGAAAAGTCAATGGGACCTATGAAAATACTTTGCTATAACCATAATTTGTTTTATCCGTTTAAGGAATTCATTAATTTACATAGCTGGGGATCCAAGGTTACCTCGCTATATCTGTGAATTCGCAATATCTGTGTTCATATCTAGACAAATTTTTGATATAAAATCTCTTACTTAAATATGAATTTTACTCTTAATTCACACAAATAAACAGAAATAATGATTTGACATTTGAGGGCGAGACAGCACCATGACAATGGGCCGAGACAGAGATATCTCAGCCCCGAGGGAGAGACAGCTGTACTCAGGCCCCAAAAAATTATAGTCTTGTTTCCTGTTACCCAACCTACCTTAATTTTTCGCACCTGACCCTACAGTTTTTTAGGTTTGGAAAAAATCTGGAATTTCTGTAATTTCATGTTCCATGTTCTAAAACTGAAAAAAAAAATAATGTATATTCAAGTGGTATTTTACGAAAGACGAATAGGGCCACATAAAAAAATATTTTTATATCGTAATTACGAGATCTTTTCTCGTAATAACGAGATAATTAATTCGTAATAACAAGATCTTTTCTTGTTATAACGAGATCTTTTCTCGTAAAATTTTACGAGATAAAAATATTTTTTTATGTGGCCCTATTCGTCTTTCGTAGTATTTTATGATACTACCGAGTATATGTTTTAAATATGGACTTTCATAACATACTACTTGAGTCATGCATCAAAAGAAAAATTTAATTTGTAATGAAAATATTGGTTTCTGACATGTTTAATTTGGTTTTGTATTAGTTCATATCAAAAATAAAAAGAAATTAAAAAATAAAATAATTTTCCTGCCTACCTACCCAATTTTTTTTCAGGCTGGTAGCAGGAAACAAGATAATTATTTTTTTGGCCTTACAAGGCACTGTCTCACCTAGTCCAAAACATCTGTATCAGAGCTGATATACTACTAGGTATATGATATAGGCATATATGCATGTTTGCGTACTAGGGAACTGTCTATGAATAAACTTACTTTGAAAATTTACAAATACAAAAGGAAAAAAAATTGCTGGGACTCAAAAATCAAACTCAAGAAACCTGCATTATTTCATACCTTCAATATATATGTATCTGCAGGTACTTATGGCTTAATATGTATAATGTACATGTTTGTGCTTTTCTATCTTGTAGTTGCACCAGGCAGCTATTCAGATTCCTGCAATGAAAATTTTTGTTCTGAAAACTCATAAAAATTAAAAGGCTTTCTGTTAAATTGTTTTATTGAAATAGAGAAAGGAAAAAAATTATAATATATTTTAAAAAATCATAATCCTTCACACTTGCGTTATGTATTTTAATTTTATGTGTATAGGAATATTTTAAATTTTGGTATAATTCTGTTATATTTAAGGTAAACAAAAATGTATATCCTGGGTCTGAATTTACCTAACACCGATACATTACAGGAAGGTTTGGAAGGGCAAGGTCAAAATTCATTGGTGACGTAGTTTAATTGATGCAGACAACAAACGTTGTTTTGCACCGAGATTAAAAATAAAATATCAACGAAGGATTTATGTGTTCAAAGAGTTGGAAGTATAACAAAGTCAAGAAATACTGTGGCATGTGCATGTGAGGACATCACTTGTTCACATACTGTGACATAGAAACGATAATATGACTTATTTTGACCGTGTGTTACAGTTTTTTAACAAACGTAAAGGAGTTGGATTTATAAGGAAAGCTAAGGTGAAACGTTAAGGTAAGGCAGCAATTATAATTTTTAAAAATCTTAATCCTAGTGATATTACTTTGATTGATCTCTAATGTTACGTGTTGGCTATAAATTATAAAACTAATTTTACTTGAGCTAAATTTGCAGTAGCCTAGCCTCGATTATTCTATCGAAATGTTATGTATGAATTGAGTCATACCTCTTTGCCTTTATGCAGTGACTAACCCTTTTATGAATCTTTGGTCCCTTGGGTCTCAGTCTGGGTGTGAAAGTTTGTTGAAGAAGTAATATTTCTTGTAGTATAAATATATACTTGGAGGTCTCGGGCGTTATAGGTTTTTCGGACGTCGATAACCATAGAGCACTCCCGAACGTGTGTGACGTCATTTCCTTACTGACGACGACGTACGGAAAATTACGAACAATGGATGATCCCCTTCCGAAGTGGTGGCCATTTTGACAATGTTAAATCTCCGTAGACTTTGAATTTGCCGCCGTGTGTATACACTGGTTGACCTCGAGGGTTCGGATAAACGGCGGAAAGTTGGAAAAAAAATGATCTATCGATCGGAACTGGGTTGAAAGCCAAGGTATTTATATATTTTGAGATTTTATGCGAAAAGTGCTTACAGTAACTTGGTGGGACAGACTATAGTTACTGAAACCGTGGAATGTTTTTGATCAAATTGCAAATTAACTGGCTCGGACAAGTGACTCAGTCCATCGGATCCATCCATCCCTTTCCAGCGACCGAAATTCCTCCAACTTTTTATCATCAAACTTCGGACGTGTTTCTTCTGTCTTTTCAGCATCGATTATCATTTTTCACGAATAAAATATTCCCCGACAACAATCTGTTTACTATTACTGATCACAAGTAGCCTTTCACAAAATATTCCCTTCGAAATAGATTCCTTTGCTTAATGAATCTGAAGCGTAACCGCCATGCAAGCCGATTTACACCTTGCGTCATTTTTCAAAATCTACGACGGACGGTTAGTGCAATAATTTAAATTCGAAAATATTCAATTGTCTGTCTCAAATGTATATATAAGTAATAAATAACAAGTTTATAAACTTCAATGGGAATTGAAGTGGGTCGGTACGTGATCAAATCTTCTGAGAAGGCCTTCGGCCTTCACAGGATTTGATCACGTGACCGACCCACTTCAATTCCCATTGAAGTTTATAAACTTGTTATTTATTTCTTAACTATTGCTCACTTGGTCACGTGATCTTTTTATCCATAGTGCGATATATATTGATATCTGACCATCTAAGGAGTAAGCATTATCTTACAGTGTCATTTGTCACTCGATATTCCATTATAATTTGGTTTATTAGTTTCGTTCTAGCTATTTGCACTGTGATTCTACTTAAATTAGACCTGAATCTGACTAAGGATCAATCATATCTAATTCTGGCTACACTTGGGCACTAGTAGGACTTATACCTATTTGCGTTATAGTCATATATTACATTATTTGAAATTGAAATCACTCAGAAATTCGTCAGTGAGTAGTCGTCTTCAAAAAAGAATGAATGTTATCATCGTTTTCATTCTCTCAGTCTTTGCCTCCTATCAGATATGTGTGCTTTTCAAAGCAATTTTATGGGCGCTGGACATAAAATTGAAGATCGCAAAGTCAATTTATAATATATTTTTCACAGTATTGGAGCTTTTTGGATTTTTACATTTTTCCTGCAATCCTTACATATATTTTTTCATTTCGTTTTTTGTTTCTAAATCCAAACATAATTATCGTACGTGACATCGAACCAGTATTGATACTAAATATTATTTGTTCTAATGTTTCAAAGGTCAAGCAATATATTATATGAATTATTTACCATAATAGGCATTTTAAAGCTATCAAAAAGTTGTGATTATGTTGAGGCTGACGTTAAGTGACTTTTGTATTTATTCTTTGATCCGGTTGTTTCAACGAATTTTTAAATTAATGAATTATTAAGTCTAATGAATCATTAAATTTTTAATGACACATTTGTTAATGAAAGCTAAAAAACGTGTTGTACAAACCCTTTATTAGAGTCTTATTAGTTAATGAATCATTAATCATTTAAAGAATTCATTACAGAAGAATGAACATTTATTAAGGAGATCATTAAATACGATTTTTTTTTTTGACTAGCTGATTTTACTAAATCTAGATAGATTTTTTTCAGTGCTTATATGTAGGATTAAAAAGAAAATGAAAAATGCACCATCCATGTCTTATACAAGCCGGCCTTTCAACAGAATAATTAAAAAAGCCTTTTTTCAGTGTTCATTTAAGCCGTTCAATAGATTTACAATAAAATATCTAATTTATCCTGGTTGGCTAACTTTTTTATGATAAGGTCACTTCAGGACATGAGATATTGCCGTTTTAAATATTTTAGGTTTTAATAAATGTTATAATGGTGAATGGGTCTTTTAGAAGAAAAAATAGAGAGATGATTGTTTAATATAATTATTTCGAGTCGTTTCTTTTTATTTAGAATTAGAGATTTAAGGGACTATAGTTGTAAAGGACTTAAAGCATCTCATTTTTCTTAAGAAAAAGGGGGCAATTTGATTTTTCAAAACAATGAAAATTCTTTCTCTCTCATACGTTTTACTGTACTAAAAAATGTTAGTTTTTATCTGTTTAAAGTTAGCTCATTCATTGAAATTTTCAACACCATATCAGTTATGTACAGTAAATACATATATAAAGGGTGTTAAGAAAGTTCATTCCACATTTTTCTTTTATTTTCGAAAAGAAATACGATGAGAAGATATATACAATTTCTGATATTTCATGTTTACAGACTTTATTCTTATAACTGATAAGGTTTCAACTGTCTTCTGTTGAATCAATAAGGGGAGGGAAGGTATTAAAACAGATTATGTCTGTTCAGATAAAATTAGGGATGACGTATATTTGTGACATATATTAAGCACACAGGTCAAAACGTACTTTCAAATACTGTGCAAAAATAATCAAATCGGTAGAAAATTTCAACATGACAAACCTATTGTTTTAAAAAGTGATCTTTCGCTGTTACATCTTGTCTGACGCAAGATATGCTATGATGAAAGAAAAGTAATTTTTTCCTTGATTTTCACTTAAATTGACCAGCATTTCTATCATTAAGAGTGCTTTAAAGATATCACATATATTTTCATATGGGAAAAAAACCCCATGACTTCTTGCTAGAAATGAACTGCTACAAATCTAAAGGATACTCTTCTGATATTTTCAGACTTGTTAATTCTTGTTTTTAGTTAAGCACTACCTTGAAATTTTTGAAAATATTTCATCATGGAACGAACTTTCTTAACACCCCTTACATGTTAAGGGAATAGCATAGGCATCGAAACCGGGCGAAGGCCGGACAAGGGGAGGGGGCTGACCCCCCCCCCCCGACTTATTTTGGAAAAAATATACATCGTATTGGCACTGAAAATGCGGCTTACCCTTCTTTTGAATTGGGTTTATTACTCCCCTCTCCCGTTTTATTTGTTACCGACGCTTATATAATGGAAAGGTAAAGAGTTCGGCTGAGAGATCCTTTTCCCGTCTTCTGCTCTTCTCGACGGGAGTATAAGTTTTTCGATAGATAAATAAAAATCAATGCTTTGTGGCAACGCACTTTGAAAAAATTACGCACTTTTAAAATTTTTTTCAAACTGCGTTAAAATTAGGACAAAATCAACGCACTTTGAAAAAAAATTTCAAAGTGCGTTAAGAGTGTACATTAACATTTTTTACCATGTGGACATTTAACGCACTTTGAAAATAATATGTATGAAACAAATACTCTAGACTTAGATTTTAGTAACTGAGAGAAGCAATGCGTAATACATGTAAATTAAAACTTTTTTCATGTATTGATTTACCCTCATTGAGAACAAGGAGAAGTATATAGAAGGTCTCTCAGCCCAACTCTTTTTTTCTTATACTTAGCTTTCGGTAGGAATTAGAAAGTGGACCCCCCGAGTTAAGCTTCAACCAACTTTTAATGTCTATATTATGCAAATCTTTGCAAATTATTGGTGTAACTACCCCCCCCCCCCCATTGGTACTGATGCCTATACTACACCCAAATATATGTATTTGCATAACTTGTGTGACGTTGAAAACTTTCAATAAATTATAGTTTACATAAAATGCATGCAAACTGGAAAAAAATAAGCACAGTAAAAAATTTAAGAGAGAAAAAAATTTCAAAGTATGGAAAAATCAATATCACTCACTTTCACACCCTGAAGTGACCTTGACACCGAAAAATTATCCAACAGGTTCAATCATTTATCATACCTGAGATTTTCAATAATATTGACAAAGCCATACACATTTTTTTTCAAAGTGCGTTAACATGGTCGATATCAACACACTTTGAAAAGAAATTTTATTTTTTCAAAGTGCGTTGATTTTGTCCTAAATTTAACGAACTTTGAAAAATTTTTTCAAAGTGCGTAACTTTTCAAAGTGCGTTGTAACAATGCTTTCCCTAACTAAAATTTAGTTCAGAATTTTTTTTTTACATATTTTCTTTTTCAAAGTGCTTTAGGTGTCTCCATGGTAAAATATATTGATGTAAACTTTTAACGCACTTTGAAAAAATTTTTCAAAGTGCGTTGAGTTGGTCCCAAATTTAACGCACTTTGAAAAAAAATCTTCAAAGTGCGTTAATTTTGTCCCAATTTTAACGCACTTTGAAATTTTTTTCAAAGTGCGTAATTTTTTCAAAGTGCGTTGCCACAGGGCATGGACACAGTTTCAACTGAATTTTATTAACCAATTTTAATGTTAACAGTTCCTACCTATAGCCCCATCTAATGATTAGCAAAAATTTTAACATCATTTGTTGATTAACATACGAGATACAGAACTTAAAGTTCTTCATAATGTAAACAAGGCTCGTGCCTTGTTTTTGTTTACAAAATAGAAAATATCATATTTATAACAAAATGAATTCAGAAAATCAATGAAAACTGTCGAATAGTATTTAAAATTAACTTTTTTGTTGAAATTATCTACTTTGAACAAACATATATTAGTATATTAACCTATGTAAACAAAAACATGACACGGACCTTTTTTACATAACAAAGATTTGGAGCTCTAAATCTGTCTTATATCGCAACAACTGACGTTCAAATTTTTGATTATCATTAGAAAAACCCTATTTAAATATTTGTAAAAATGGAAAAATAAATTTTGAAATTTTAGCTGAAACTGTGTCCATGCCCCTTTAACTTGATTGACTCATTAGCCATGTTGTGTATTTAATGATGTTGTCTTGTGGTTGGAATCCTCTAGGAATGTCTTCTAAGTAAGATTTTCCTTTTTTGGTCATTTTTACTTTCATATTGACATAAAACCCTTATAAAGTCTTCATGTTAATACTGCTTCTTTAATTTTTACAAAATGACTGTATATGTATGAAATATGCTTAAAACGAACATCTATTGGGCTTTAAAAATCCATTTGAACATCACTAATGGAAAGCAGACGATGAGCAGACCTCGAAACATCAAAAATGAGATAAGGTACCATGGTGGAATATGCGTCCCCTTACAACCGAGCCCACCCTCACGCTCCATGACATTACCAGACAATCGAAAATCGAAAGAAATTCGTCGACAATTCAGTTTGAAAATATCGACATAACAAGCAATATGATTATATCTAATAACAATTAAAGTCATTATTTTGAATACAGAATTTCGTGAAATGTTGACGATAAATAATTTTTTGTTAAATGATTGCTTCTTTTCAAAAAATTGTTCGTTAGTTGTAAAAGCTTTTTGGTTTTTGAATAAACACCATTTGCAGCTGATAATTGCAAATTAAAATCAAAGTACTGAAAGTACTGAAAAGCGGTTAGCATGCTTTCATCGAATATGTACAGTGTACATTAACAAAAAATGCATTGAATGATAATATTAAAGTAGGCATGCATATCTTTTTCCAGTGTCATCAGCGAAGAAGCAGACACACTGAATTTTGTAGTATTTAACTAAATGGTATAACCAATAACATCCCAGACTGATATCACAAATGTTTGTTTCAAAATATCAACCTGAGATTTTCAGTTTGAAAGACAGGAAGTTCAATTTCAAAAATTTCTCCCTAATTGTCTCCATTGGTGGCATCCAAAAGTGCTCAGAACGAAAAAAAAATTATGTTGATGTTGCAAATTTAATTGGCTTTCATGCTCTATTGATTCTGAAATTAGGTAACTGTAAAGGCTGCTATAGCAAACAACTCAAAAATAAAATAAAATGATAATTCAAATTCTTTAGATTAATTGATTTGGAACTGTACATAGATCTTTAGCTGGCTAGTCTGAGAAAAACGGATGGAAGAGCAGAGAATTAATTAATTTCAGTGAGCTTCAGTTTCGTAGGCTCACTGCGGGTCAGCAGGTGTGACCTGTCACTGGGGATGCTTACTTCTCCTAGGCACCGGAACTTTCAAGGATACGTTTTTCTTTTGAGACCGATCACTGTTCATTCTGTATTTTGATACAGATACTGAGTACATCTGTTTATTAATATTTATGAACTAACAGGAAGAAAGACAAGTAAACAAGATAATATAAGAAATATTATTGACTTTTCATACAATTAAATGTTCGAATAAGTAAATGGTATATGACAATTATTTAAAAAAGAGTCTTGCACGAGATGTATAAACGAACATATACTGAATATTTGGCAAATATTTTTCATGAAAATTCTTTTTACTCTTATTCGGAAATGCTGCAGATCCATTCAATTTTATAAGGCTTCAGTAGTTTTTGAAATGAGTCTTTTTATTCGGACTTGGGGTACCCTTTCAAAGAAAAAGGATGTAAACAACGATATTATTTACCACAACATTAAATCTTTCAACACGTGTGTGTGAATCTTTGCTTGAGAGTGTGTAAAGGGGGGGGGGGGTAGAGGGACATAACCCTGGAACCCCCCCTTTCAAAAAATGCTGGATCCGCCCCTGAGAAGTGAAGTAAATCAGATGTAGATACTTTAAGAAAACGTAAACACCATTTGCAGATGATAATTGCAAATTAAAAAAAGGAAGTTATATAAGACAAATTAAAATAATTGCGCTTATTATAAAGTGTTATACTGTGCAACAATATTCGAGAAGTGAAGTAAATCAGATGTGGATACTTTAAAATTCCAAGGAGAATTTGAAATCACAAACTTACCAAAATTAATAACATAAAAAATTAACGACTTTTCTAATCTGTATACAACCATTCACTACGATAAACTAAAATTCAGGCTGTTTGAAATCATCGACAGCTAATTTTTCAATAAAAAATGGAACTTAATTTACTTACCTTTGTTATCGCAAAATTATTTTGTTAAAACATTCTGATTTCACACACGAGTGCCGTAGAGTTCATGTTACAAAGATGCTCGAGTTTCTGATTTTATTTTGCAGAATTTATTCAAAATCTTGTAAATGAGAAGAAAACACTTGTTGTGGACTTCAGTTCGATATTTAGATGTATCGACGACGTATTATTAATTAACAATAGTTATTTCCATACTTAAGTCGATACGATACATCCTGTTGAGCTTGAGATAAAAGATACCCCCGAGTCTGACACATCTGTTTCATACTTGGAAATTTTACTTGAAAAAGATGTTAATTGTAATCTAGCAACCGAGCTCTATGATAAACGTTATGACTTTAACATTTCTATCGTCAACTTCCCTTACTTATGCAGCAATATACCTTCATCATCTGTATACGGAGTTTATATCTCGGTTGATTCGATATGCAAGAACAAGCTCCATTCTCATTTTTTATTTTGCTACATTGACTGTTTATTGATAAAGAAAGTACATGAAGACTACTAAGTAAAATTAAATAATTTGTATATGAATTGTATGTAAATCTATATACTGTTTTAGGCACCAACTCATACCTAGTATAATATATTACAGCAATAAGTATGAACACTAGTGCTAATGTCTCAGATACATAATTTATAGTTACATGTATAAATCGTTACAATTTGCATAAAGCTTATAATCTTCTCAATAAATAAACAAATAGTTTAAATAGATAAATAAATAAATAAATAAATATCGTCATAAAAAATCATACATACATAATTGACGTAAGAAAGGAAGACATTACAAACTTAAAAGAAATAAATTTAGATATTCTGCATCAGTTTTCAGAAATAGCAGCAGTGCAGAATGATTTTCAAGTTCTATTACTGATACAAGCATTTCACTTAATTAACATGCGTAATCATCTCTTGAGTCCTATACATAATCAAATACATTGTAATAATAAAACCTAATTTAAATATGACTTGCTCATCTACAACCTCTATACAATAACATAAAAAGTTTTGTGTGCTTTTTACGTACATACTTCTAAAACATTTGAAAAGTAATTGATAGATAAATATCTTTCAAAATTTAATTTATAAGAATATTTATTATTCCTTGATATAAAAGAGTATTATAAAGTTATGTTAAAATACATCTAATCAAACGTATGACATTGTGCATATATAGCAGAGCAAAATACTCAGGTTTGTTTGGGACATTCATTCGAAGTACATACATGTACATGTAATTAATTAAGGGATCATCGTCTAGTTTGTTGGGTACTCCTGGCCCAGGATATTAACGACAGTTGGAAATGGTATAATTTTCATAACGGGTGACTTAAAATATAAGTTAAATCTAGCCTCCTTAACGATAGTTGAAAATGGTATAATTATCATAACGGGTGACACTATCGATGATGTCTCTTGTATACCCAACAAACCAGACAGTGATTCCTTATATTTCCATTTCAATGTGAAATAAAATTATAAAATCAGATTTTAAATATGTTGTCCAATATTGAAGTTACACGAGGCCTCCCATGCCAATTTCAATTTTTACATTCCGTTAGAATTATTATGAAACATATGGAGATAAAGAACAGTATTCAAAATCAAAAGTCTATAAAACAATAAAAAATAGGAACAGGGCAAACACGGACCTCCAGAACATCAGAGGTGGGATCAGGTGCCACGGAGGAGTGAGCATCCCCTGCCGGCCACATCCGCCATGTGCTCCTCAATAATTAATCAACTCAACTAACTTTCAAAGAGTTATTAGAGAAAACAAACAGAAATGGAAATATGTACTAGAATGGAATAATCAGGTAAATATAATACACCGAAATATCAGAGGTTTTGTTATTATCAATCATCAATGTATCTCAAATATTAAGTAACAAAATGGCTACAACATTGTAATCGATTATAGCTAGAGTAATGGATAAATACAGTGTACTTTACAAATTATTAATAGTTTTTAAGTGAAAAGATAAAATTAATTTTAACTTTTACTGTTAATCATACTAGAATATATTCATGCATGTTTTGTCATCATCGGCGCAAACCACGGCCAAAATGAAGTACAATCCTCTCTCATTCTAGAAGGAGAGAGCTATATGCCGACTCCGAACCGTGGCTTGAGACGATGGTTTGTCATCGTATTAACAAAAAATACGTAAAATATTGAAGTAAAAAAGGTAGATATATTAAAGTCATTCTAATTTATATCAGTTGCACATTGAGATATTCAAAGACTGTTATTGTTTAAGTCAGTTTAGCCGCCACATCCACCACATGCCCCACAACTTCCGCAGGATCCGCCACAGCCTCCACAACCACCACAACCTCCACATCCGGCTGTGTCCGGGATATCTGTCTGGTTATCTCCAACTGCTCCGTTTTCGACCGGCGTTTCCTCTGCAGCTGGCCGAATTTCCTCTGTTGGATCCGCATTATTTTCTCCTGTTGGTGCCTCATCTGCCGTGGCTTCCATAACATCAATAGGATCCAAAGCATACATGTATCCCACGCCATTTTGGTCGGTTTTAGATCCAGAAGCTCCTTCTGCTCCATGTTTTCTATATATATACTGATTATTAGGTGTTTTTTCTACGTATCCTGCTGCAACGACAAGTCCGAGGTCTTCCGATGGCAAATGTTTTATTTCCTTCGTGCCTCTAATAGGTGTCCCGGATATTGCAGTCGCACCTTCTCCTTCCGGTGTCAGAGGTCTTGGCTGACATAGTACGTGCAACAAAGCCACACCAAATGCTAACGCTAGATTTTCTGCTATCTCATTCTTCTCAGATGCTATCTGAATGACGCCATGTTGTAAGTCAACATCAGTCTCGTGAAGGTGAAATTTGAACACGTTTTCCAGATAAGGTAGGGCCAATTCACTCCAACTATTACGTGTGCACTTGAAGAACCGAATACTTAATGTTCCTGGACTGCCAGGAACGCCCTTTCTTCCCTTCCGGTGTTTTCCGCCTGTCAAAATAAACAAGAATTTAAGAAGTTAACGTCACATCACGGTTGACCGTAGTATGCATGAAAACACAGCCTTTATGAAGGATTGATGCAGGAATTCAACCTACGGTTGACTTAGAAAAAGACATACTCCATCTTAAGGCTACATCCTATCTCATGATGACAGATCATTGTCTCATGTAGTCTTCAATTCCGAGCTTTCCATTCTGATGTCTATGGTTTTACATTTGTGACCGGGTTCACAGGTGCGTGAAATTCAGTCTTTATATCGGGTCTCAATAGCTCAGTGGTTAGAGCGTTGGCACGGTACGCCAGAGGCCCTGGGTTCGATTTGTTTTTTTCACCACCTGTGATATTTGGCGCCCAACGTACAAAACCCATTGTTCCCTTGGAATATGCTTCATGCATTTCCTTAACTCCTAGAATTCGAGGACGAATTTCTACGAAGAGGGGGAATATGTCACCGTGTTCACAGGTGCATGAAATTCAGTCAATAGTCAATACTGGATAGCTAAGTGGTTAGAGCGCTGGCACGGTACGCCAGAGACCCTGGGTTAGAGTCCCGGCTGAGACTTGAATTTTCACCACCTGTGACACATTTAACCCCGGTAGTTGATATATACTGTCTTAAGTCTTAAAATGTCATGAGGTAATTTTCAAGAAATGAATTACATGTATTGGTTTACAATAATGAGGCTTGACCAAGGACATTTTAGGGAATATATTTGAAAAGAAAAAAAAATCTCTAGAAACGAAATACAATGTACATGTAACAGGCACGTAGCATCGTTTTTGAAAGTGGGGAGACCAGCCAGTGATTTTTTTTTATTACCTGTAAAAGTTGAAAAGCAAAAAAAAAAAAAAAGAAAAAAGGAAAATGCCCAAACTCGAAAATCCTATTTCGGGGGGGGGGGGGGGCAACATTATTCAATGCCAATTTCCTTTCACTTCCAATTTTTTTTCCATACAATACTACATTTCCTTGATGTCACTTTATTGTGGTTAGAAGTGGGGGGGGGAAGCCCCCCCCCCCCCCCCCCCCCGTTGCTACGTGCCTGTATTATTTGAATTTAAGGACATGGGCGTTAGCTTGTAGCCTTGTACCCTGGGACATAACATTTGTAAAAGTTAGATTCGAGGAAATGTTTACCTGGCACACCTGACTTGCCCCTCCTGAATCCCGTCCATTGTCCCGTCAGTATCCCCCAATCCCCCTCCTTATTCTTGATCAGAAGAGACCGCTGTCCAGAGAGGGGAACGATGGTTGGAAAGCTTCTTGGCTCAGCCACCTTAAAAATTTATGATATTAAGCGCCGTGTATTTTAAACCTTTATTTACTTTTTTATTTGTTCATTTGCAGGAGATTCTAAATTTGACGATCAACAAGGTATTTGAGCTATGCGGATCACGTGACAAGATGTAACTTGACAAGGTTATTTGATCTATGTGATTCACGTGACGAAATATTACTCACTTCAGATGACAAGATTATTTGATCTGTTTGGTTCACATAACGAAATCTTACTTACTTCAGATGACAAGGGAATTTGATTTGTGTGGATCACTGGCGACATGTTACTTACTTCAGATAACAAAATTAATGTATTTGATCCGTGTTTATCACGTGACGAGTTGTTACTTATTTCAGTTTGATTCGTGCTGATCACGTGACATGTTACTTACTTGATCTGTGTGGATAACGTGACGAGATGTTACTTATTTTTTGATCTGTGCTGATCACGTGACATCATGTTACTTATTTCAGATGATGTTATTTGAGCTAAGCGGATCACGTGACGAAATCTTATTTACTTCAGATGTCAAGGATATTTGATTCGTGTGGATCACGTGACGACATGTTAATTACTTCTTTGATCCGTGCTGATCACGTGACGATATGTTACATGTACTTCCTTCAGATGACAAGGGTATTTTATCCGTGCGGATCATGTAACGATATGTTAAATGTACTTACTTCAGATGACAAAGGTAATTGATCTGTGCTGATCACGTGAGCTACAGCCGCCATTCTGTCGTGATAAAACACCTGAATGGCTGACATCAAAAGAGGAAGGCTGTGGATTACTCGACAAGTAAAGGTCAAATCACCATTATGATTCACAAACCTAAAGAGAATGTATATAAATTTAATAATGTGCAATCATTAATAAAAACAGCATAATCAGATACGCGTATATGTTGTATAAAGATAAACTTAGATTTATACTTGTGTGTTGCAACGATGCACTGGTTGTCCTTTCCAGTTGGTAACCTGGGTAACGGAATTGGTCCCCACATTTGTTTCACATGTTCAGGCATGATACATATTCTGTTGTCGTAATTTCCGTTTTTCAGGAAAAGGAGACATGGTCCTGTTTTCGGAATCAATTTTACTGAAGCCTTGAGCTGGATACGAATGTTTTGTTCCTCATCTATAGTCAGTGTTTCAGAAATCTCCGTATCGTTTTCAGCAGATGCATTCTCAACGTAGCTAAGCATCTGCAAAACACACTGTCCTAATTGTTCATAAGTAGACACACAGAGGGGTTTGTGAATTTGAAGAAGTGTGAATTTAATCGTGTTATACAATTTTGTGTCAAATGTAAAATTTATTTTTTTCTTCTTGTCCCATTTCCTGTTTGGTCCCTTAAGAGCACCAATTTGAGGCCCTTCTTTATCGTTTGCCAAAAATTGTATCTTGATTTTGAATTTTCTCAACTCTTCTGGAAGTCCTTCAATTTCTACGCAATCCAGTTGAATATTTGCAGTCTTGGTTGAGAACTTCCGAACTTCCTCTGTGTTAGGCGGATTTAAAGCGTCATAGGGTGGGTCCCCGCGGAACATAGCCCCCGCCTTTGAAAAATTTTCTTTGAAGATTTCTTTCCAAAGCTCTCTTGTTTTCTCATCTGCCTTGTTCAACTTTGACCCAGGAGATCTATCAATCACAGAGTCGTCATGGTTAAAAAGCTTACCCAGAACATTCTCTGTATCTTGTTTGTAACATAACGGATGTAGTTGATGCGCATGCCAAACAATATCCATATCGTAACATGGAACCAGAAATACCCCTGGATTTTTCAATTTCAAATAAAGCATTTTCTGATATCGATCTACTGCCTGTTGTAGGTATTTCCTGTCCTTGAAATGTGGTAAGGACACTTGATAATTAAAGACACGCTGGCGCTGAGCAGCCGCCATGATGTCGTATGAAATTTTACTTTCAAATTCTGGAATAACTTCCGGAATATTTTCCAAATCAAACGGAACATCCGGATACTTTTCGTTCCAAAGATTCTTGGAAACAATTATTTCTTTATCCCTCTCTGCAGTAGAAAAAACCTTGTGATCGACTGTATGACCAAACATTTCCTGACATGCCTCTTCGTAATTGAGGGGAGACAACAAATGACAGTGCCATACCCATTCGATATCTAATGGGGCTGGCAGAACTTTGTCTTCATTTCCTGCCGCTAGAGGGAGCCAGTAAGTTTCGTATCGATGTAGTGCAGACTGGATGAACTTTTTGTCAAAGAATTTACTATCGTTTTCAATAAGATGAATAAAATCCAATTCTTTGAGTGCTGCTTCCACCAAATTAAGACCAAATGTTATTTTTTCGTTAAAATTTTCCTCACTTATTTCGGAGATGTCTTCTTCCGCCATATTTGATCTGTAAAATTTTTAGATATACAACAAAACAGTTATAAAACTATGTTGTTTTTATCTCTTAATTATCTGTTTACAAACCAGACAAAAAGTTGAAAAGCATAATGCCTGTGGAAAAAAAAAAAATAAAAAAAGCTTTGAAAATATATGTTCACTTGTAAGAGATAGGAAGAGATGTAAACTCTAGAAAGCAGCTGAAGAGTCAGGCAAACTGGCATTAATTTAATTATCCAAAACTTCGTGAGATCAATAATGAATATGGAGAATAAATGAGATACAAATTAAACGAATTAAGCAAACGCTGGTGATTTATGGATCATTAAAAAGGCCGAGGCCGCAGAAATACATCAAGCTATACATCTTGGGGTGTATGTGGGTACACATTTCTATTAGGTTTGCTATGTACAAGTGTATATATAAACGAATATATTTTGAATTGTGTCTAGGTTGGGATCTAAGGAACTTTTATAATTACAGTATTAGAAATGTTAAAAGGGAAGTGAAATTATAAACGTCAATTAACAAGAACCTCTGCAAGTGAGTATGCATATTGTAAGAATAACTTTTCTTGTAGCTAAACTCTAAATATTAAGAGAGAGAGAGAGAGAGAGAGAGAGAGAGAGAGAGAGAGAGAGAGAGAGAGAGAGAGAGAGAAATGGGTTTTTCAGATCTTTTGCAGATACCGCTATTCAACATTACGCATCTCGGCATTAATAACCCCTGAGTTTGCTTTTGCTGTGTGCTATCGTTTACATCTTTCTCCGCGTAGTTTATTGGATCAGCGATGCCTCTGTCAATTTTATACACTTCGGGCACTCGGGGAAATGTAAATAACACGGAAAATTTCATTTCCAGTCCGACCATCTGACGCAAAATCGTTACCACACTCTGGCCGCACCGGTCACTCGGTGACCAATTTGGAAAAAAAAAAGGATCAATGAATTTAAAGAATGTCGAAGCAGTGAACAATTTAAATCAAAGACAACAGTGGCAAAAAAGACTATATATATAAAATCTGTGAGGAATAGTTTCTGAAAGTAAATTAACTTACTTATGCCTTATCCTTCCTTTTTCAATTTTGCATGAATATAATCCTGTATACATGTAAATATCATCTCAAACATCATGATACACTCAAGGCTAATTAAATGAAACATCCTTTTTACAAAAGCAACTGTGTTAATTATGTGCATCTTTCACTTAAGTGGTTGAAAGTAGTTTTAGCTTATCCTGCTTCTACAATAACATTTATTTAAATTTCCCGATGCAGTATATAAATTGATCAAATTTATTCTCCTAACCATGGTAAAACAAACAAATAAAAGAGACAACAACCAATTAATTGGAATCAATTATTGTATTACCTGTTGATGAATTCTGACCGGAAGCAGACACTACACTGTGACGTCACAATCTTTCTGCAGCTAATAGTGCATCATGTACATTGTCGTGACTGGCACCACTTGCTTGTAACAGATTGGAATTTTAGGAATATTTCTTCCGTCAGGGAGCCGTGAATATGATCAATAACAACCAGTATAGGCTAATAAGCCAGGAATAGCTAGCGAGGCGAGCAGCGTCAGATCTGCATTGCTTCACTCGTCTTATCTTGGAAAATACTTTACTTCTCCCCTTCACGGCTCTTCGGAGTTCCTGATGCAACGGAAATTTTATCTAAAATAAGTTAACACGTGGCAGAGAGAGAGAGAAAGAGAGAGAGAGAGAGAGAGAGAGAGAGGATTTTATTCAATTATTTGAATGCACCGCAGCACGTATTCTTGACATATATTTATGTATGCCAAAATGAAAAATAAATCGGTTTATTTGAAAGTTTAAAAAATAACTTCATATTTTTCTTGGTTGTAACCGAGATTTATACATACATGTATATATACGGACAGAGTAAAAAGTCGACATTTACTGAATAGGATTATCCAAAAAAAGTCAGAAACCAGAATGAACCCTTCTATGGACTTTAATTTTTTTTTTATAATTCGTGCTTTTTAAAAACACAAAACCAGTCGCCTGGGAGGCGCGCAATGTTTAGAGCGTTCTCTCGAGCCACTGAGTAAAAAATCCTTATGTCGCGGGTTCGAATCCCCCTGCGGAATGTGGAGGCAGGTCCTGGATGAGACAGTATAAACCAATATAGTTGTAGTTGTATACGAAAATAACTGTCTGTAAGCATTCCACAATATTGGCGTGTGTTTCCGAAAGAGAATTTGAACTAGAATTGTTAAGGATGACCGATTCGACCTTTTCTCCTGCGTTGTGCATATTGGTAAATTTCCTAAACTACCTTTCCCGCCGAGTTTTACACCCTGTGTCAATTAATTCCATAGTAACGCATGGCGGGAAAAGTGGCGTGCAGCTGAATGCACAGTACCAAATAGACACGTAAAGCCACGGGCATCCTATTTTCCTTTTTTTTCTTTTGCGTTTCAACGTTTTTAAAAAGCCTGTCTAACACACTTTGTGTATATATGTAGTACTCGCTTTTAGTACTCAACACATCCACGTTGATTGCAAAATTTATAGGTACATCCAAAGCACGACTTGATGTAGGTGACAATTGATGCGCGTGTTAACAAGGACAAATCGAGGATAAACTCAATAGGCCCTGAACCAAATTCTACTTGGTGGATGGGAAAACTAACTTTACATTGTAATCATGATTACAGGTATTTATTTTGGTTCTACGTGGATTTCTTTAAGTGAGAACATTTATTGAACTTATTTTATATTGAACCCTAGTTTTAAGTTTGTGCCTTTTTTCAGGTAAGGTTCTTGACAAGTGTAGTTATTAGTTATAGGATTTTATTTTAAGCATAATTTTAAATTTTCACATAAATTCGGATTAACACTTTTTTATAAAATAGAATTATTTGGGTGCTTGAAAAAAGTCCCATCCACATAATCTGCAGTAAATCGGTTTTGTTATTATAATATTTTTGAAATATCATAAATATTCATGTATGATTATATCAATTGTATTCTTATATAAATATATGTACAACACAAAAAATGCAAATTACTTTTTAATGAATATTTACATGCACTTCGATTGAAATATTGGGTCAAGTACAAAATAAGACGAAAATGGTCCCATCCACATAATCTGCAGTAAATCGGTTTTGTTATTATAATATTTTTGAAAGATCATAAATATTCATGTATGATTATATCAATTGTATTGTTATATAAATATATGTACAAAATAAAAAATGCAAATTACTTTTTAATGAATATTTACAAGCACTTCGATTGAAATATTTTAGTATAATAAAAACCAAGAATAGATCTAAAATAACAACACAAACTTTAATTTTATTTTACAATTTGACAGGTCGACAGGTAGACAGGTCGACAGGTTGACAGGTCGACAGGACGACAGGTCGACAGTTTTTTTTTTTTTTCATAATTCAATGTATATTTATTTAGTTATATCACTACAAGTATCATCTTAAGGGTGGGGGGGGGTGTCACTCATATCATAAGATACATGTAACTGTACATTGAATGCCTAAAAGTGTAATTTCCATTCTCTTTTTATATGCACAATGTCTGATAACAGTTAGATGTATACATCTCCATTTGACAATCCAAACCTATGACGACATGTTGACAGGTCAAGGGAATTACATATTTAAATAAACATGTCTACCTGTCTACCTGTCGACCTGTCAACCTGTCTACCTTGAACCTGTCTACATGTGACCTGATATAGACCTGTCAACCTGTTAAGCAAACATAGTAACATTTGTTTGAACAGATAATCTTTTAAATTAATTTATATGCAAGATTAAATATCTTGTTTTGTACATTTATAATCCATTTGATATAATAATTGGTTGACGACATAGAATGCAATAAAGAATGCAATCGGTTGGTATAATTCACCAACAATGGCTCTAAATATTCATTAAAATAGCATACATTTAATTCATATACAAAATATGCTAATTTATATTGTTTTGTACATTTATGAATATAAATGAATATGCAAAAATATATATTATTACGAGGAAAAAAATGGAACTATTTTCGTCTTATAATGTACTTGAGCCGGAAATTTTAATATAATGTCTGTTTCCCCCTTCTCGACTCAGGGTAAAATTTTTGGGTAGTTAGGTAGGTGGAAAAATCTTTTTTGAGAAAATTACAAAATATTTGTTGGTCAAGAGAGGGCAACCAAACTATTTTTAAAGATGGTCTTAGGCTTCATATTTTAAATATTTATTCATTCACACGTCCTTTCTTTGGATAACAATGTTTTTGGTATCTTGACCTTGGAGTTAGACTTGCAGTTGAGAAACTTTTACCCTCTTCAAAAGCTGCAATACGAGAGCGTTACAATTGTCGTGTTTTTCAAACACAACTTTTTCTTCTTTTCTTTTTTTTTTTAACTGAAAAAACCTAATCTTCACAAGCTTGCCATTTGTATTTCAAGAAATTGTTCTCAAGTAAATTCTATATAAATAAAAGTAGCAGAACAAATATACATGTATGCATCTGGATTGAACTGAAGTATTTTTGCTTTGATGGAATTTTTTTTTTTTAAATTATTCGTATTAATTATATTTTGAAAACGTCTCCGTTTTTCGTAAATGGTCCAAGTTTTATTCCGGATTATCTTTCTTGACCTTGTATTCGTATAAGGGACAAACGATTGATTCCCACGCATCTCTGAAGAGTGGCAATTGCTTGATTAGCCTCAGGTTTTGAATCCTCCAATAATGAAATTACGGACATCCCAAAAAAACCTGGTAGATTGTCTTTACTGTCTTAGAACTACTAGCAGGAAATCGTTAAAACGCAGAAAAGCACTAACATGATTGGATTACATTTGATGTGTATTCACAAATTTCGAGAATTTTTGTGAGAACAATAGCCAGACAAAATGATTTTTTATGTCTTGACTATCTGTCAGCTATGGATTCTAAATTGTCACAGCAGCAAGCTAGCATCGTTTAGTAGTCGGAGCGATGTTGCGATAAAAGCCTTAGAAGTGATAATAAGAAAATCAACATCTCACACGCTGTTATATGCTTACATACGTATACCTGTACGTGTTGTACATGCCTTGTCATACTACTGACTGTAGTATTTACATTACACCAGGCTCTACCGTTACGAGTCATCCTGGAAAATTATAGATGTCACTTAACAAAGAAGTCAGGGTGCCCGGGAAATGTTATGGTGCCAGCCCCCAGTTTTGTATATCGGAGTACTTTTATCAATGAGATTTAAGAGTGATATGTCATAAGAGGTACTTCCGCTATCAGATGAAGAATTCTTCTTCTTGGACGACATCCTTAATGAAGACTGAATCCTCTTAAACAAATCAGATTGCTATGTTTGTGTGTATGTGTCGACTTTTCCTGGAGTTTTCTATAATTTTCTAATTAACATTGGAACCGGTATCACTACCTCTCCGGAATGTTAAAGTGGGTGCAAGTTGTTAATGCCAAAGTTAAGTCCAAAATATGGAAGTCTAAGGCTCTAAACAGTAAGTACTGATATTGAACAAGTTTGTGGTTGCGAAAATCCCCATGACGTCAGACGTATAATACATGTATTTGAAGTCGATTGTTATTGTAAGTGTTTGTTCAGAAAGTCACCGAAAACAAAGATATCTTTTATGATTCTATTTTTGATAGAAGCTAAAGCTTGCTACTTTGATTCTTGCTGGGTGTGAACAATATCTAAGAAACACTGTATGAAGTGCGGAATATCAGTTATGCACAGCAGGTTACTTATAATTAGTTATAAAAATCAGACACGCATATAAATATGCACATGTTTTAGAGAAAATTGTTTCTTGTTTGAATTTCGTGGTTCGTATTACTTTGTTTTTTATACGTAGTCTGACTACGGAATGTTTCGTTTATACCTGAGGTAGGTGAAGGACATTTATACCGAGGGTCAAGGCTAATTATCAACAAAATCTATCAACTGAAAAAAAACATCTCTAAAATATATGTACAAAACAAAATATAATTGAGATGTGTTCGTGAAATACTGATGCTCCCATATGGAAGTCAAACTCCAAGGTCAAGGGATAAAAAAAGTAACCCAAAGAAAGGTCTTGTTCTCAATGAATATACCTGTGAAATATGAAAGCCCAATGCAAGCTCTAGCCATGAAAAAGTAAGGGTCAGGGTTGAAGTTATTTAAATGTGGGTCAAACTCAAAGTCAAGGTTGAAAGGTCAAATTAAAGATATACAGGAGAAGGCCGTATTATTAAATATATATGTGAAATCTTAAGCCCTCGAACGGTTACCAATTGTTCAAAAGTTATGACCAAATTTAATAATTTTTTTAATGTAGGTTAAAGATCAAGGTCAAAAGGTCAATTTTTTTTATATTCAAAGAAAAGCCTTGCTTCATGGAATAAACTTGTAGATTATGAAGGACCTAGTTCTAACTGTTCAAAAATTATATTCAATATGATAATTAATTTTTTTTTCAAAGTGCGTCAAACTTAAAATTCAAAGTCAAAAGGTCAAAAATATTTAATTCTTGGAAAGGTCATATCACAATGAATATACAATTAGGTAAAGTATGAAGTAGCAAAAACTGTCTAAAAATAATAACCAAGGTAAAA